ATCTCAGCTCTTTCCTAGTAAGATTTTACTATGGTCTTGGAAACCCAAGAGCTGATGAGGCCTGAGAAGTCTTCAGGAACAGCTCGTGACTTTGTTGCCTCCTCTACAAATACTGACTAATTCCGACCTTACAGTTATCGCAGGAGAAAAGCTGCGGTGGCTGAAATGAGGCAAACTGCTTCGTCGCATGAAAGTTTGGGTCGGAGGCAGCACGAGAAGTTGTAAGATGTAAATCTCGTGCTCTCAGATTGCGCCGTGTTTTCACAGAACTGCATCTGTGACTGTGCAGCACTACAAAAATTTCCTGTGAATGTGCTAATAGGCCTTATGAGAATGTTCTATCACCATCCATCTGTCACTTTTTAACAGGCCTGATTGGCAAGCACTTGTAACAACTGACATCTGTTCTCGCTTATTGATATGTAGATTTATGGTAATTGCTGTGAACAATAAGACACAAAATTACCTAAGGTGAACATTAAATTAAATTTTCATGCCCCTGTCCTTATAAATAATTTTTTAAAAAATCTTAAGTTTCCAGCAAGGCACACTGTGCATCTGTTTTGTACATAATTTAATTGTTTTTTTAATCTGCCAAATAACAGAACGAAAGTTGAATTTCCTTGCAATCTTGAATATTTGCCAAGCTGATAGCACATTGGTAAATACATGTTATTAAAAATGGAATCAAACTGTATTGTGATGCTGGGGGTTTTTAATCATTTCCCTTTAATTCCCAACATTGTCTCCATCACGAAGATCAAGAGTTATTCCTTACCCAGAAGTTTTCTTTACAGGGGGATTTTCATTTTTCATGTGCAGTTTTGCCTATGAGGCTGTTCTTCAGCATTAAGCAATTTGCATTTCTTCAGAGAGAGGTGCCTTTGCTGAGTGAGCAGCACTTTCAAATAAAAACAATCTACTCATTTGCCGTCCAGCTCTGTTGTGGGATTTAGGGCTGGTTTGAAAAAGCTGTAGGATGTGAGATGTGTGAAGAACAGTGGGTGAAAGGGAATCAGAGAACAGATTAGTCCTACAGAACTATCCCTTAGCTGAAGTTCAATTGAACCAAAAAATCCCATTTGAAAGTGAAGTACTTTTGGGGTCTGGGACTGAGAGCGTTTGGTTTCCCTCCTCCAAGTTTGTCCTAGCAAGTGGGATGTTGACACATGTTGACGACCAGTTGATGGGAGAAACCGGGAAAGAGATGGTAAAATGCCTGGGGAACATGAAACAGTGATGACAGGACTTTTTTAGGTTGGAAAGGACATTAAGATCATGTAGTTCCAACTCCCCTACGATGGGCAGGGACACGTCACCCCAGACCATGTTGCCCAAGGCTCTGTCCAACCTGGCCTTGAACACTGCCAGGGATGGAGCATTCACCACGTCTTTAGGCAGCTGCTCCAGTGTCTCACCAACGATGCATATTAAGTGATAAACCTGTTGGCACAATCAGCTTTTTTTGCTGCCCTTCTCTTACTCATGTGTGACAACAGCAAGCAGTCTTTTTTACCAAAGGCACCGAAGCTGACACCCTGTAACATCTGCAGAGCTGGTTTGTGGCCAATGTCTTTTAGTCACCTCCCCAGTAAAACAGACTGGGTGGGGAGAGAACTTCGTCACTGCCTAGCTCTTCTTTGTTAATCCTCTTTTGGCGATGAAACTCTTTCGTCAAGTTGATGGGTTCTTCTTGTGCTTCCACAGGAAATGTCCAACTATAAGAAATGTTTTGGAGGGATGAGGCAGTGCTGGTGTGTGTTTTGTATCCACACTGGTGCCAGGGTGGTTTGTGAGCCCAGAGAGAGCAGTTATTTTTTCCCCCACCTATTGACCTTCTCTTGCCTGCAGTACTTATCCTTGAGTGCTGTACAGTGCATGTATGCTGCCTTCCAGCTCCACAGCCCTCTGTGCTCATAGACCTCTGCAGTCTTGCATGCGTGGGTAAAGCCATACACATAAAATGCAATAGAAAAAGCAGCATTAAATTGCTTTTAGTTGTGTCTAAACTAAGGTTTGGAGAAAAGTCTGTGCGTTTTCCAGGAGCATGTGGGATTTCATCTAGGTGAAGCTGTTTTGCAGGCTCTTCTCTAGTAGCATTCTGTGCTTTTTGCTATTATTTAATCCTGCCATGTGTGCTGTTTAAAAGTCCAAAGTGGAAACCTCCCCACAGAAGAAATATAAGCTGATTATGACTGATCCTTCTGATGAATAGCTAACCAGTGGGTGATAGAAAACCATGCTGTCCTGGTGGAGAGCATCCCACTGCTTTCCCAAATCTCTTACAGAATTGGCATGAAATAATGACCTCAGTAAAGACCAGCAATGTTTGTTGAACATTTTTTGCTTGACATTACTTATGCTTCTTACAAAAGAGGAAGATAAATGATATTTGAGGACCAAATATCAATCCATTATGACAATGGATTCCATGTCTCATTGTGAGAACCACTGTCTTTGTTTGCTGAGAGCTGGACCCCAGCTTCAGTCTTCTCCATCCCTGAAGCCTGGCTTGAAATAACTTGCAGAATCTTACTATCAAGCAAAGAGGATTTTTCAATTAAAGAAAATAATTTACACCTAAGGCAAGCAAGTAGGTCAGCTGAGTAATTAAGTAAAAATAAATCTAAATTATGCTTGCATATCTGAATTTCTATCTGAAGTGTACTTTTTGAATGAAAAGTTCTCAAGTTAAACCAGAGATAGGATTTGAAAACTGTTAAGAATTTCCTTACTATCACTGGTTTCAGAAATTTATTTGTTAATATGATACTGCTTCCAAAATTTTATTTTAGGCTGATTGATAGTAAAAATCAAATGTTTTTAAACTACTCAGTCAACTTTTCCTGCTTTAGAAGATGGCTTTATTCAAGAGTTCAAGACTTGAGATGTTTTAAGCAGTTTTACTCTATTCATTTGGGCACCCAATATCTATTTTTTAAGTATTTATTAACTATCTCTCTAATTAAGGTGAAGTTTTGCCATTTCAGAGTTATCTTTGTATTTAAGCATTTAAACTTCATGTGAGCTGGTTTAGAAGATTGACCAAATTGCAGCAATGACCCAGGATGACCCAGGATGACTTTAATTTGTCCCAACTGTGTTGTGCAGATTCCAGATTACAAAGTGGTGGATCTTGGATCAACTAGAACCTTACTCATAACATTGTCATTGTGTCACATTTTCAAAAGCACCAAGACTGAGCTGACTTTGAGTATTTGACTGAGGCAGAGAAGTTAAAACCTGAGCCAGGCTGGGTGCTCACCTGAGACCTGACCTGCCTGTTGGAACATGCAAGTAGCATGGAGCACGTATTTAAATTTGGGGGTTTATTCACAAATAGTTGCTTATATTAAGGTTCACCTCACAGTTCCTAATGCTGGGACAATAAGAATACTTCTTTGTGGGGCTCACTGACTGTAGCAACCTGAGTCTGCAACATACGTGTTTGAAAGTAATATCACTGTCCATTATTGCAGGAGTTCTCAATACCTAGAAAATACCTGTCCTTCATCGCGTTTTTCTGCATCTCAACACACTTACAAAGTGTTACATTTGACCTTTTTTAGGTCTTCTCCCAAGCTGTCATTAAGTTCTGGTTTGAGAAACTAAATGTGCTGGGAGAAGTGGTATCTTTTGTTAGACAAACTAACATTTGGGATAAATTGGACAAGTTCCCAGGCATTCAAGCTCTTCTTTGGGTGTACCTCGAAACTCATGCAGTCTTCCTGGCTCAATCACTTCTAGTCTATAAAAGGTATTGCTCTTCCTACCACCTAACATTTTGTGTGTACTTACATTATCATGACTACAAGAACATAACAAACCTCTTTTAGTAATTTAGTTTTATGCACGTTGTCAATTCTGTTGAGGGCTTGAGCACCATGCACAGATCTCCTTCATGTGTCCATGCCAAAAAGGACGATCTCTCACTGCCATCCAAACAACTTGTCTCATGTCTGTATGCAGACACTCAGTCTGAACATTGCCCCTGTGGACAGTTCTGTCTCATTCAGAGGATCCGGAGAGGGATCCAGGCTGGTTAATGCTAGCATTTAACTTCTATCTGCATTTAAGTCTCTTACTATAGCAGTTTGCCTTAGAGTAAGTCCCTAAGTACTTTGTCTAGCCCACAGTAAAAGGTAGGTACTTTTGAAGACCTCTGGAGTATCATACTCCTATCCCTCTAAGCCAAATGAATGCCATTTGGTGTTCCTTAATCATCCTTTTTTTTTTTTTCCTGTATCACAGAAATTCTGTTATTGTTTGTCTTTTTTAACTTACCATCTAACTTAAAGCCTTTGCTATACAAATGCATCCATTCCTTATTGAAATGCAGGTATATCTCCCCCACATCTTCTAAAATAATGAAATGGCTGATGACTGAGTAGACTTAATATCACAGTCTAGAGCTTATGGCCTGAAAGCCCCTTCCTCAATGATAGCTTCGTGATCAGGCTCATACTAATTTTATGTTCTTAATTCATACGTGGTTTTAGAAATGAGCCATCAAAAGGAATATTAACACAATTATTGGCTGCTGCACTAAGTGTAGCCTTAGTAGATACATTCAGAGGAGATACAGGAAACAAATTGTATTCATCCCAATTATACGACCCTGTCCTGAATGTGTTTTAAACGTTAGTTATCTTCTTTACACCCCCTGTTGTGCCAGGAAATAGTATTGTGCCTGGGCTTCACACAGAGTTTAAATGACTTTTAATTCCACACTTCCGTGATAGAGGAGGCACAAACCAGGTTTAATTTTCCTGAACTATAGTCTGATGCTTTTGCTGTATTCTCTCAATGCCAAAGTAGAGAGATGAGAGATGCTGTTTGGGAACTGTAAGAGGTGGTTCCCAGATTACAGATGCCTTGGGAGTGAAAAGAATTGACTCTCTTGGCAAGGTACACCCCAAGCTCCGCGTCCATTGAAAACAGCTTTTTTAATTAGTATTATCATCACATATTTTAATTAACCCTATTGCTTCTTCACGCAGGCATGAACGCTTTACAATTACAGAATTTGGCAACTTTAGCAGCCGCAGCAGCCGCCGCCCAAACCTCAGCTACCACCACCAATGCAAATCCTCTGTCCACAACGACCGGTGCTCTGGGAGCCCTCACAAGTCCCGGTAAGAGCAGAGTGCTTGCTGTCAAATTACTAACGTGAGAATAAATGGGAAGATGATAGTTTAAAACAGTGGTTCTGTATTGTGTTAAAGTGTTGTACTCACGTGAATTCTGAGACCCTTTTAATAGCTGAATACATTTTTATTGCTGTTATTTTTATGCAAATAACTAGTTTTTCACGTAGTCTAGTGTGGGCATGTTCACCTATCCAGGCTTATTTCAGGGGCCACTGAAGCCTAATGGACCCATTTGTCCCGGGTTCAGCTGTAACAGTAGTTTTTCTTCTTCTTACTAGTGGGTGCAGTGCTGTGTTTCAGCTTCAGTCTGAGGACAACGCTGATGACACACAGATGTTTTAGTTGTCGCTAAGTAATGCTTACCCTGATCAAGGACTTTTCAGTCTCTCATGCTCTGCCAGTGAGGAGGGGCACAAGAAGCCGGGAGGAAGCAGAGACAGGACACCTGACCCAAACTAGCCAAAGGGGTATTCCATACCACAGCACATCATGCCCAGTATATAAAGGGAGGAGTGAGTGAGCGACTGCATGGTTCTGAGTTACCAACTGGGCTTAAACCACGACACCATTTTACAAAACTCCATGTGCAAATTACAATTGCATGGGAAACTTTAGCTGAAATTGACTTTTCAGAAAGAATTCAGAACAGAAGCAAATTCTTCTCATCCTGCAGAAAAATCATCCGAGGTAGTGTTCTTTAATCCCTGAGAGACTGACTGATCTTTGATTCCCAGCACATCATGCATGTATTGCTTTCACTCATCATGAATTTTTGTGAAGTCTTCTCTTTTTTTCCTTCTCTTTTTCTTTCTGTACCCTCACTTGAGCTTTCTTCTGGTCCTAACTGAGAATATAGTTACAGAAGTGATTTCAGAGGCACAACCAGATTCTGACTTCATTACACTAAGCAGAAGATAGATTTATGTGGTAATAAGGGACAAGCTAAGAAGTGCTGGTGCCTCCATGACCACCATGTAGACTTTCAGCACAACATGTTCAATGTCTGCAAAACCATTAAGAGAAGTAAGGCAAATCCAGAGTTCAGTAATGCTTCAGCATCTCCAGAATCCAGAGAGAGATGTTGATTCAGTGTAGTTACTCTGGATTTACAGTGATGTAGCTGAGTTAAGAATCTGGCCATTTATCTTTACGTAAAGGCTTCAGGGTGTAATTATTTGCATCACGAAGTCTGTTTATTGCTGTTCTAAAAAACATTCGTATTATTTTAGACACCGCTAAAGAACATTTGTGTTTAATCTTGTTTAAGTGTATATTTATTCCCCATGAGAAAGGAAATCATGTCAGATGGTTTGAGCTCATCAGTAAGGAAAAGAGTCTTCACTGCACAATAGAACTGGGACTGAGCGTGGTGCTGGGTGTTAAAGCTGGCCAACACTTCCCATGATATTACAGTGTTATTGTTGGTTTGGGGGAGAGGTTAAGTGGAAGGCAGCTTGGCTAATACTAAGTTTATGCAGAGCCTCATCCCAACCTACAAATAGTATTCATTCACATCTCTGAGAAGCAGATTGTGTGCAAACAATTTTGGTTTGCTAGTCTATATGTTTTTTTAAACCCAAGAAATGTCTTCCCTACATCCTGGAGCTGGGGCTTAACACTTTGCAAAAGGCTGGTCTTGGTGTCAATGTTCCTGTGGTACTCCTGTCTAAATGTCACTCATTTATAGAAGTGGAAATGCTGCGTTTCATGCATGCTCTGTAAGACCTCTGCAGTTTAGCTGTTAAATGTCCGAGTAGCCTGTCCTCCCAAAGCATCCTCAGCATTTCTTAAGCCATACTGACAAGACTTCTCAGGACAACTCAACATACGGCACTGCAGTGCAGACAGGCTGGAAATGAACTTAATTTCTTCATCATTGCTGCTCTGCAGCAGAATGGCATCAGAACCACAGGCATCAGCATGTTTCTGTCATGCATTTTGTCTTGCCATGTTAGCACAGGACTCAGATTCATCCTTAAGGTCCACATTTTCCTCTCTCCCTCTTCAATACAATCTTTGTATCAAGCCTGGGTGACTTTCTGTTCCCTCTTTTAACCGAGTCTCAAGGCTCCTTGAGTACCTCCAAGATGATTTCATCTGATGTCCAACTCCGCAGACACACGTGGTTAGAAAGGTGCTTCACCTGGCTGGGCAGATACTTCTTTGGGATAAGTAAAGCTTAGTATTGCTCAGGGTGGCATTCTAGAGCAGATACCAAGGTGTTTCCAAAGAGATTAATTATTTTGGCTAACACATTGAAGTTGTGTTCTTTTAAAAAAATTTCTGGACATTTAGCCTTTGAAATGCTGTATTCAGGATCGTAATTGCTTTTGAAACTCTTATAGATAGTAGGTTTATCTGTACACAAGTGTTTCTAATATTAGATAGCTTGGTGTGTCAAAGAGGAATTCTGTATCTAATAGGTCCATTGACCTATTTATGTTGCACAAACAACCTAAAATCAAGCCTTGTTAAAAATGTCCTTCAGTTTAACCTTTCTTATCTGGTTCCACATTCTCCACCCTATTAAATATTTTGTAAACCTGAATAATGTCTTCAGTCATTCTTCTCTGCTCTATGGAAAATGAATTTAGTTCGACAAAGCTTTTCATAGTAGCGCGAAGTATTTCCATTAAAACTTGAAATATGTTGTCAGAAAACATTTAAATCTGCCTTTCGGTGTGTGGATGTTTGGAGGCCTTGAGGGTATTTTTTTGGTCTAGATTTCTTTTAATAGAACACTTCAGTTTGTTGTGTTTCGTAAGTGTAAATTATTTTGTCTGATTTCAAAGCCTGCACTAAGCCCAGGAAGAAATGTTTGCGTCTCTCCAGATAATGCATTAAATTAATATTTCTCAGTTCAGAAAACTGCCCAAATTTAAGAGAGTGCAAAGGTGCAGACTTAAATTTTATCCTTTGCTTAATGCTGTTAAAGCCAAAATACTGCATGGAACAGGGATGGGCATGAGCATGTACTTCTAATATGCCTTAAACCACTGCAGCCACATGGATCATACCCATCTTTCTACCCATATGTAACTATATCTTTCCTGAATCAGAGCTCTTATTCTGTCCTGTGTAGGCATGTGTCCCAAAAGGTGATTACTTCCATTAAAATTAATCTTGCAGCTTCATTATACACAGATGACTTAGCAACATTCAGTGTATCAAACTGTTACAGAGGGCTTGGTGGTCAGTGCAACCTTGATATACGGACAACAGAGAAAAACAGGCCAGGAAGTGAGGAACCAACAGGGCATATTTGAGGATGTGAAGTTCTACTGCTGGCTTCTAATTGCAGTATATTAAAATAGAAGAGAAAAATATCCAGCATCTAATAGTGACTGTTCAAACTGTATGAAACTTGCTCTTCAAGATTCATACAATTACATATTTCCAAACAAATTAAACTCCAATGATCTTTCTCCCATACAGCCTTACTAAATGGCTTTGACCGCAAGAGAGTCTAAGGACACTCATTCTCTTCTCATTTCTCTTAGGCTTGAAACGGTATTCATTCAGAAAGAACAGAGACAATGCAATCCCCCAAACTATTAATTTTTTTATAATTGTAAATTTATAATTTCAATTTTGCATACCCATGGAAGTCTCTCCCTACAGCATTGTTAGAAATGATTTTTTAAAAGCCTTTGCTTAAAAAAACCATGAAAGATTAAGCTTTCATTTTAGTAAAAATCCCCTCAGGCAATAAATAGGTTCTTTTGTCTCTTGGCCCTAGAAAAAAAAATTAAAATGGTTTAAATTGCCCATGGTTAAAGTAACTGTTTCTTGCAATTATCAGATGGTAGTGAATAAAAATGAAAATGAAATCATGAAAGAATAAAAACCAGGTAAATGCATATTATGCCTTTCATGAGTTTCTCACAGGTCTTTTGAAGACTCATTTAATCATCTTTCTTGTCTTTTATTTCGATATGATAATTGTTTCCTTTATTTATTTTAATCACCTCTATTTAGTTAATTAATTCTTCACTTTCTTTTCATTTCACTTGCTTAGAGTACTTTCCTTTTTTAAAGGCAGGTACTCGTAGTAATTCATAACATGGATTTGGGCTGGGGTAGCTTTTACGTGACTCCTAGTTGTATGAGTCAGTTTGTCTCAACTCTTTTGGTTGGGTCCTGGAAGTTTGCATTTCCCATTAACTGGGAAGGGATTTTGGAGGAACTGCCTCAGATCTAGGTATCAACACTGTAACTTTCTCAATTTAGGAAGGGTGAATCTCAGCTGAGTGTCAGGAGCTTTGTCTTCTCCTCCAGAGACTGTCCTTGATACATCCTGCAAATGGATCGACTAGCAAAGAGCTCACAGGGAGGCTGCTATTCCAGAGCCTGCAGACATATATAGTTAATTCAGTGGGTGGTGGGAAGGCCTAGAGATGGATGTGAAGTAGGAACGTGCAAGCTCAGGATCAGAATATATGCCTCTCATGCTGTTTGCCATTTTATTTGTCTTAGTTGACCTCATACCCTAATTTTCCCAAGGATAATAATGTTTATTCTGACTGGTGGTACAAGGTTGATATGGCACCTTTCCGGATACCAGGAGCTATGAAGGTCCTGATCTTTATGCAAACTGATGTTAAGCAACAGCAGAAAAATGTTTTGTACTCACAGGAAGAATATGGAAGTTGGGCTTCAGACACCACCCTGCTTTGTCATCTTGCCCTTCTCCATCACTGCACGTATTTTTATTGTTTAATGCCATACCATTATAGCCACAGAATCACATAGGTTGGGAGACATTTCCCAAGGTCTCTAGTCCAGGCTCCTGCTTGCAGCAGGACCACTCAGAGCAGGTTGGTTAAAGCCATGCCCAGTCAAGGTTTGAGTATCTCCAAGGATGGAGGTTCCACAGCCTCTGTGAGCTCATTTCAATTTTGTTTCTTAAAATACATGCATAAATGGGGTGGTTTTTTTCAGTATCCAACAGGAAAATCCTTCTGTGTGCAAATGAAGAGACAAAA